GCGATTCTTCACCTCATCTGCTAGTTTGAAACAAGGTTGCCCTTTGTCTCCACTTCTCTTTGCTATAGTCATGGATGCATTTTCTTGCTCTTTAGATGCCAGGTCTTTTATTGGAATTCCTTGTGATACTATCTCCCTTAATCATCTTCTTTACGCGGATGATGTGCTTATTTTTGGGGCTGCTACTATTCAGAATGCTTGGGAGTATCTAAATTTTTGAAGGACTTTGCCCTTGCCTCGGGCCTGCACATTAATAATGCCAAATGTTCCATCTTATTCTCCAGCAACACCTCTTTGGCTATTGACATTGCCAATATTTTGGTCTTTAAACTCATTGATCACTCTTTCAAATATTTGGGTCTTCCCATTTCTACTAAGAAATTTAATCATACTCACTTCCAACCACTTTTGAGTATAATTTCTACTCTACTTGATGGTTGGAAAGTCAAATTTCTTTCTTTTATAGGTTGCATCCAATACTTAAGAATTATAATAGCTAACACGCTGGCTTACTGGATCAGGGGCTCTATCATACCTAAATCATGCATGAAACTTATTGATAGGCTTTGCTCTAGATTTCTTTATCATGGTTCTATTGAGGGAAAGAAGTTACACATGGTAGCTTGGAAAAACACTTGCCTACACGCTTGCCTTGGAGGTCTTGGGATCTCCAATATTCAATCCCTCTATCATGATTTTGGATGCTCTTTTATTTGGAGAATGTACAACTCTAATTCTCTGGTTTTTGATTGGCTCAAATTTAAATATACCTCTCCTTGGAAGGCCATTTCTCCTAAAGCCACTAAATTATGGAAATTTATACATGGTATTGCTGGGCTTATCAGGAATGATATTAAGTTCTTTGTATCACCGGTTGGCTGCATTCTCTCATTTTGGGACCCGTGGCTGGACAAGATTTGTTTGGCTGAAATTTTTTCTCCTTTGTCTGGATCTCCAGACGATTTTACATTCTACACTAATGAGGGCCACTGGTGTTTACCAAGCCATATTCCCCCCTCTATACAGCAACTGATTCATGCTATCCCTCTAATGGGATCCTCTTCTGCACACTTATCTTGGAGACATCATGATAATCCCACTTTTAAAATATTTAGATTGCATTATTTTGATGGGTTACCTAATGCACCGTGGGCTAAATTCGTATGGCACAAACGAGCTGCACTTAGATTCTCTTCTTAATAATGGGTTAAAAATGGTGGATGTTTTAGCCAAGAAGAACATTTACATTCAACCCATTTTCCCTTTGTGCACAAAGGAAGAGGAAAGAAGAATTTTTGCTATTTAGTTATTTGTTGTGCTATCTACTTTTTATGGAGAGAACATAATGAGCGAAGATTCTCTGGCTCTCTAATCTCTCATTATGATCTAAGTAAGAAGATTGCCTCGGCGATTTCCCATAAAGTTACGAATTGGAAATCTTATGATGTCCTCTTTACTGCATTCCCTGCTTGCTTTAATGGAGGTGTGGATTTGTCGGGTTTTATGGGATGATGATGACTGGACCTGCTCGTTGCTCTCTGGATGGCCATTACTTACAACTCTTGCGATTTTGCAATTTGGCCTGGCACGATTTACCTGCACCCTGTTCTTCATGCTCGGGCTGTGGCTTTTTGGCAACCGAGGTAACTCTATTCTTATTGGCACGATATTTGTTGGACAATTGAGCTCTTGGCTTTGATGGATTTTGTCCATTGCAGCAGGTTCCAGAATGACTGAGTCCCTGATTTGATCTGTTATCTCTCTTGCTTTCTTCTTGTGGATCACTTGTTTTTGTATTCTCTTTTGGTTTATTTTGGGTGTTTTTTGTAAGCTTTAGTTTGTAGGCTGTTTTTGTAAGCCTCTCATTTTTTGGTATATCAAATATACAGGCAATGCCCCAATTTTACCCAAAAAAAAAAAGATGAACTATTCTTTTTGACGTGGGAGTTGAGTGAGGGATGGAGGTTTGGAGCTCTTGAGTGTGGGTTCCAAAGAAAAGAAGCAGCCTCACCAGGAGGCTCCATTTGATTTTGTTTTAACCATGAACCAAAGATTCCAAGAGTATTTTACGGGAAACAACGCATAATTCAGCGGATTTTATGGGATTTCTAACATGGATTTAGTAGGCTATGAGGTATGCCATTTAATGTGATTTAAGTTTCTATAGCTGACTTTCCATTTCTGATTAGATTAAGCAATTCTAATAATGATTTGCCCAAATTGGTAATGACATTACTTAAGGCTCACAGTAATGTCTCAATTGATCTAAAATTATCTCAATTTGCGTGTTTCCTCAAAATATGTGTAATGCCATCGAAATTCATGTCGATTTTGCCGAATGTCAAAATCAGACAAATTGAGAGTGAATGTAGGGTATTGATGATATTTCGATTGCAACGACGCAGTCCGTTTCATGATCGGATATCATTTGAGCCACATCGAGGCCTAGTTTCCTCCAAATGCGTGTTGCCATTTTGGAACAGTTTCTATTTGCGCGCACAACCTCATTTGAATAAAATAGTCGTGCATTTAGGGTATTACCGATGTTCCGGTCGCAACGACGAAGATCGTTTCGCGATCGGATATCATCCGAGCAACGCCGAGGCTCGATTTCCTCAAAATGTGTGTTATCTCGAAATTCGTGTCACTCATTAGGATGATCCAAATTGAACAAATAAAACACAGTTTATTGAGTATTTACAATGTTTTGAACATAATGACGAAGTCCGTTTGTCGATCTGACATCGTTTGATCAGCCTCGCGCTTTAATTTTGGGTGTCGGTCATTCCTTTTGACTGATCTCGTTTGATTCAATTGCGAGGGGCCTCGACCTAGTAGAATTCAGTGTCCTGATCGCAACGATATTATCTGTTTGGCATTCAGAGGTCATTTGACTTTTTAAGTGACATGTGGCGCTAAGATGCGTATTGCTTTATTCACCAGTTTGAGTCTTTTTTGGTGTGGTTTGAGGTATAGGGGTCAACACGTATATGTATGTACTATTTATAAGTCCCTTTTCCTTTTTGTCTGAGTTTGATTGTTCTATCTTTTTTGTTTATATTTGCTCAGTCCGTTTCATGATCAGATATCATTTGAGCGACGCCGAGGCCTAGTTTCCTCCAAATGCGTGTTGTCATTTTGGAAATGTTTCTATTTGCGCGCACAACCTCATTTGAATAAATTAGTCGTGCATTTAGGGAATTACCAATGTTCCGGTCGCAACGATGAAGATCGTTTCGCAATTGGATATCATCCGAGCGACGCCGAGGCTCGATTTCCTCAAAATGTGTGTCATCTCGAAATTCGTGTCACTCATTAGGATGATCCAAATTGAACAAATAAAACACAGTTTATTGAGTATTTACAATGTTTTGAACATAATGACGAAGTCCGTTTGTCGATCTGACATCGTTTGATCAGCCTCGCGCTTTAATTTTGGGTGTCGGTCATTCCTTTTGACTGATCTCGTTCGATTCAAATATCACGTGCAAGCTTGAATGAAAAATTGAGGAAATATTTAAAAAAAAGTCTAATTCGTCCTCCTACTAGAAAAATTTATGGCTCTGCCATTGATCCTCAATCAAATTAGTATATTTTTAATTAAAAATCTAAATGGGAACTATTTGGGTTAATAAATACATTGAAAGAGGATCTTTTATTAATAAATAAATTTTTATTATTTATGGACTTGATAAGTAAATAATAAAATTAGGAGGAAAAAAAATCCATGAGAAAATACTAGAAATGTGGGAAGATAGAACCTAAAGATAATTGTTGTGGAGTTCATCCACATTCCAACTTGAATAGTTTTCTATGTTTAATGGCATTCTAAATAGAAGCATCTTGATGACTTAGTTAAATTTGATTAGCTTGAATATGCTAAGGTTCAAGGCTAAGAAGAGATTTGACTTGGATGATCATAACTAAATTATCCTACAAGATTATTTTCTTTAATAAGGGAATTATCAAACGATTTTATGACTCTGAAGATTTGAGTTATTGGTGTTGATGATTATCATTGATCAAGGATGAGATTGACAAAGGTGACAAGAATGGGCTATTTGTTGGTTGCCCTTGACTACTTTAGTGTTGATGTGCATGCATAACTTAAACTTCAAATAAGGCATAGATAGCTTAAAAAATATTGGAATTTATTGATGATTTTATCATACACGTGCTTAAATTTGATCCCCGAATATTACGTAGAATGTACATTTTGCTTAGAGAAGTTGACAAGAGTACTAGGTAATGTGGCAAAGTATTCACCCACAATTGTGAAGTTGTATAAAATTCTAGTGGCGAGTTTTGTATTTGCTTTAATTTTGAGATTTATCTAGTGGGCTAGGCCACTCAGCACATTTTTTATTTAAATAAGAAGAGTGATTTAGATAACTAGACGGCTATTATTAATATTTAGTTTTTTTTAAAGATATTATTAATATTATATATTTATTTTTGAAAAATTCAAACAATAATTATCACACTTATAAATTTGCTTGGAAAAAGTTGATTAACACCCGACAATTTTTGAAAATTAATTAGAAACCAATACCGCTGTGGAGCTACAGAAAAATAAATTAATGAAAAAATATCTCTAATATACTCCACGAAGTATTTATTTTTTGTGCTGTTTCTTAATTAATCATTGAATTGTTCATCCTTGTGGCTGTTGACTTGATCTTTTTTGTTGAATCTGGCCATGCGCAATTTAATTGATCAAATCTAATCAATAGGGCTTATAAACTAAACGCTTAAATTGTTCTTCCACATTTGTTCCAATTACCATTATGGGCGGGATAAATGATGTCCGACTATTATATTTAATTAGACTGGACTTTTATTATGCAAAGCATTACTTCATTATTGACATAACAATTGAAAAAAAACAAAAAAAAATCAAACTTTGATATTATCAAATTACTACAATCAGAAATTGCAATTCTGAAAAGTAAGAAGTATTAATTTCCGCGATCGTAAAATCCAAATCCAACAAACATGCGCGTAGCAGTAAGCAGTTAACCAGTCAAAACACCTCGACTTCGGCCTACGAAGTTGTGTTTTTTACACTTTGGGGACGGCCTTTGCCTTGACAAACTTCCGATCCGACGGTCTCTCCACCCCATTGGCGACGCGATTGGAGCACACAAAAGGGAAAATTTTCCGGATTCCGATTAGAAGATCATTTAACATTTCCTTCTCCAAAAATCCAATTTTCCTGCCCAAGGTCGTGATTTTTTAATTGCATTGATTTCGAGGAAAAGGCGTCTATGATCTTTGGGCGGCGATCTTATTTTTGGCAGCGCTGGGGCGAGAGGAGTGCCGTCGGATGCTGCAGCCGTTGCCGCGGGCGCGGCTGCAGGTTTGGTTTGTTAGGGTTTGTTCGTGCGTCCTCGTTTGGACGTGCTTAGCTCAGCTTGTTGCCGTCGGTGATCTCTGGCACGGCCATTCTCGTCTGCCAGTAGCCGTGCGATTTTTTCTCAGTTTAGGAAATGATGCTGCGGTGTCAAGTTTGTCGCTTCGCCACCAGTTTCAAGACTTTGTGCCCGCTTCTCCTCCATATGTTCCCTTGAGTAAGTAGTAGTTTGACATTCTCTAGTATCCGCTATGAAGATGTTTTAGGTTCTACTGTTTACATTTGTCTTGTTAGCATAATGTGGCTGCAAAACAAGTTTTTTTTTTTACTTAAATCTTGATGGGGAAGTAGATCGGGGAGATGATTATACTTTATAGAGGTGCTGTATGGCTTTTGAGCAATTTAGGGGAGTAATTAAGCCATCAATCCATCATTCGGTGAAATCCACACTCCTGTTCGGTTGATTCTTAAATGAAAAAAAAAAAAAGATCATCTTGGCAGGCCAGGCATGGCTTCTCTTGAAACTTATGGGATAATTTATTTCTTAGCTGCAATATCTTTAAAGTGGCATGGAAGGCCATGCTTATATGGAAATGATTAACTCAAAATTTTAAAGCTTTGGGAAATTTAGAATTGTTGGCCAATAACTGAGAGATGATCAAGAAGATAAAATCATTTGACTTTATTGTATAAAGAATAAAATGGAATAAATGCAACATGGTGTAGGCCATAAGCTCCATGATCTGATGAAGTAGCAACATGAAGTCTGACTATGCGTAGCCCTTAAGCATACTGGCTTGACTTGACAAGCTCAATTATGGGTGGCACATGCGCTCATGTTTCTTTTTCATTCTTGAAACTTATTTGGATTGAGGATATGTAACTTTAGAACTCAGTGATCAAGAAGGCAAGTAAAGCATTTTTTTTTTGTTAGATTACTGCATAGAGATCCATGAAAATTGGCAACAGGAACTTTACAATAATCTTTGAGTAGTTATTCTACGGTTTTTTTTCTGATGCCTACTGTACATAAACAAAATGCAGGAGTCTATAAAAGCAATGGTTATCTCAAAGTATCCTGCAATGGAGGTCTAAATCAGATGCGTTCAGAGGTGGTGATTATCACTATAACTATTTTATTCCAAATCTCTTTTATTGTCTCAAGTATTTGAAACATTTAATTTAATTGGTTGCTTCAGATATGCGACATGGTTACTGTTGCCCGCTTTTTAAATCTAACATTAGTTGTTCCGGAGCTTGACAAGAGATCTTTTTGGGCAGACACCAGGTATTTTTCATTAGCTGAATGATTGTTATTTTATGCTTACTCTGATCAATTAATTGAAATTAAATCACTGTTTTCTGGGATCTCAAGCAACTTTGGAGACATATTTGATGTGAACCATTTCATCAATACTTTAAGGGATGAAGTGCATATAGTTAAGAGAATTCCAAAGAGATTTAAAGGACCAAAAAATATGCTTGAGATGCCTCCAATCAGTTGGTCAAATGAGAACTATTATCTAAGACAGGTCTGGACTTTTAACATTTTTTAATCGTGTATGTATATGATTCCATGCATGTTGCTTATTGTGGAATTAATTACCTCTTATTCTTGTATGATTGATTATCAATATTTTATCAAAAGCTTAATGGAAAAAATTTAAAACATTGCAATATAAACTGTAATGTGATATTTTTGCAATTTTAGATCCTGAAACTAATTTCAAACTAGATTCATGTTTCCAATAAAAAAAATGCCTATTAATTCTGCTTCTGGTGATCTAATTACACTAGATTTTAATCTAATCTGCCAATTATTTTTTACCGCAGATTCTTCCACTTTTCAATAAATACAGTGTCATACACTTCAATAAGACAGATGCGCGCTTAGCAAATAACGGCCTCCCTCTTGAATTTCAGAAGCTTAGGTGCCATGTTAATTATCAGGCATTGAAATTTACTCCTCAAATTGAGGCATTAGGGAATAAGTTGATTAAAATTCTACAAGAAAGGGGCTCTTATGTAGCATTACACTTGAGGTATGAAATGGACATGCTAGCATTCTCTGGATGCACTCGTGGTTGCTCTGTGGAGGAAGCAAATGAGCTTAAGAGGTTAAGGTTTGTTTCTGAAATAAGAGTATTTCCGTTATTCTTTATATGTAATAAGATTATCCGGTTGTTATAGGTCACATAATTATTATCAATTTTTCATATTATCATATTTGGTTTTCATAATGGATATTGTTTTTATCTCCTTTACTCTTGTTGTATGCGTTTATGCTTATATCAATGTTGCCTCCTTTAATCACAATTCTGAAGGAACACAAGATATTAAAACCCATGCAATGTCAAAGCAAAGAAACATCACTTCTTTACTAACCTTGGTATCCATCCTACAGATAGCTTGATGTGAAACTACTAGGAGTTACATGTGAAATTAAAAGGATCAATTAATTAAAACTTTGCCAATGAAAATTTATTGCTTGCACATAAAAGAGAATTAAGAATCTAAAGTCATCAACTTGCTTAGGCCAAAGAAGTGCGATTGAGATTAACCAAACAATATGATGTGATGCAAACAAGAATTGCACGAAAATATTTAAAAGGATTACAAAACTTGCTACTTAAGATTATGGTTTCGTAAGATTAGATTAGAGAACTTTCAATCGTCAATCTTATTGTAGTAAGCAGTTACAAATCAAAAGTTTAAGGCCAGTTAAGATAGATCTGAAATTATCACAGAAAAACAAAGATATTGTAATACAATCCCACGGTTAATATTTAGAAAGTTCACTATGAGTTATCATGCTCACTCACACTCAAAGTATGACTTAGCGGAGAAAGGTCTTCAGCACACCCAACGATGCCACAAGGACAATCACAACGCCAATGGTATTAATCTACGGAAAGGTCGACAGTGGTGGAGAGGTAGCCGCGGACGGGGAAAGTGTAGATCTCCCAACGAGAAACCAAGGCTTCTTAGGCTTTTGAAGATCGATCGTATGTGCCAAGCAATAGAGGATGCGCTTGACGTATCTTTCCGCAGTCTCGTCATATTCCCAATCGGGTCGTAGAAAGGAGAGAGAAGAATGTCAATATCCCCACGATCGTTGTAAGCGAACCCGTGATCAACCTCGGGATCGGCCATTCGACATTAAAGAGGAGATGAGAGGACGTTGTCTTCTTCTCTTTGGCTTCAAATACTATGAGCAACCAAAGCTCCCAAGGGAGGGAGCAAGAAGAGGAAGGGGGCGGCCAAGGGTTTGGAGGAGATTAGGTTATGATGGGGTGTTGATGAGATTTAATCAAAATCTGAAATTAATTTCATATTTGAATAAATTTGGAGGGAAGTTACTTTGAGTTTGAATTTCAAATCAATTGTAATCAATGCAATAAATTAACATTAATTGGAATTCATCCCAAGCATGGCCGGCGGCATAGAGAGAGAGGGGGGAGGGGTTATGAAGATTTAAGCTTTAAATCAATTGTAGTTAATGCATTGAATTAGCAGTAAGTGGGATTTATCCCTAGCATGGCCGGTGGCATAGAGAGGGAGAGGGGATTTGGGGGGATTTAAAACAACTTCCTAATTGGCCACTTTAATTTAGGGAGAGAATAATTTCATCCAATCTAATTTGAAATTAAGATTGAATGAAATTCAAGACTTTCCTATTATAGATTTCTATTTTAGGAAACTATTTGAAATTCAAATTTTGAAATTCAAATGGTTTTAAAATATTTTGCCAAATCCTTCAAACTCTTTAGGAAAGAAATAATGAGGCATTAAATCCTCATTCAAGGGATGGGAAGGAGGTGGCCGGCGGTGGGCTTGAGCTTGGATGGAGATGGTGGTGGAACCAATGGGGGAGGGATCGGCTTGGTGGAGTAGTGGATGGTGGCCTTGGGAAGGGGGGATTTCGGGTTGATCTTGGTGGGGGAAATGGTTGCCGGCGGTGGGAGCTCGGGGAGGTGCGGGTGGTATGAGAAAAAGAAAAAAGGAAACGAGAAAAGAAGATAAGTTGAAAACCACGAGTCGAGGATGCTTCCAATGACTGGTGGGCCTTGCACGCGCTCACCTTGAGCTCTCTCCCTTCCCTCCAGTGATCACACAAGAAGAAGAAGAAACACAAGAAATTTTCATTAAACATTCATCATCTAATACATAAGTGAATGACCATATATATAGGCCTCACAATGACAAATAAACAAAAGACAATAATGCCCCTCGGGTTACAATAGTGACCAACTACTCATAAGGGCAAAAATGAAAAACTGAAGAAATAATGATGGCTATACATAAAATGCATCAAAAGTAAAGACTCCATCGTGGCCATCGATCTCCTGTGTTGCCTCTGATAGACGCGTCGAAATCTCGTATCGATGTCGGGAGAGGTAGGGAGGGCCGGCGGGTGGATTGGCGAAGGAATATGAAATAAAACACAAATAAGATATAAGTAAACTAACCACGAGCCGTGGACTCTTCCAACGAATGGCGGGCCTTGCACTTGCTCGCCTTGAGCTCTCTCTCCCTTCACTCTAGTGCTCACACAAGAAGAAGAAGAAAAGTACTATATATTCCAACGATTTGCGGGCCATTTTTCATTCAAATATTCATCCAAGAAATTACATCACCTTAGATCACTATATATGGGTCTCCAATCATGAAAAGGAAAAGTACGAAATTGCTCTCGGGGCTACAATAACAAGACAATTTCCCAAATGGGTAAATGTGGAAAACAATAAATAACTAAATAAACATAACATGAAAAATATATCGAAAGTAGAGGAGCTGAATCGTAGTCGTAGATCTGCGATTCCTTCGTCGATAAACATGTCGGTAGCGTCTGTCGATGTCCTCATCATAGCTCCTCGATTTCCATTTATATCTAATGCAGACATCAAATAATTGACATCTAATTGCAATCTGCACAATGGAGCAAAAGCAATTCAGCACATTCAAGCAATGCTTTAAGGTTGCAAGCTGCATGGTTACTAGAATCTATTATGCATTTTCCAATGGAGATTGTGGTATTCTGAGTCTTTCACATGTTATAGAAATCATTAGGAAATCTAAATGGGTATCATTACTTATAAAGCCATTTATCGTTCTTTTGAAGCTTTTTTGAAAAGCCAGCAGTAGATGATTCATGATTTCTGCTTGCATAAGTATTATCATGGATACGGGTAGACTATACTAAAATGAATGTCTTTTATCAGAACGAAGTTGTGATTCTCATAAGTGAGGGTTTTGATTTGAGCTTATGATTTTTGGAAGAAGGTGCTTAGTGATTCTATGTCTCTCTTATTTTTATCTAATTTAAGTTCTCCGTTTATAACAACTAAATGTGATGTATTTTAGGCATATCTTTTTTTGTACTTTCTAAGGTTAATCTTGTCATCTTCTTCATCATCATTGTATTCACCTTTATCCTAACTATTTGAGGCTTGCTTTGTGAATCCCCATTCTCCATTTATTCTTGCTGAAGTGTTCTATAAGATGTTAAACATACTCTGCAAATATATTTTTAGACATTTCAATTCATGTTACCTTATGTCCATCATTTTTTGCTTCATAATTTTTAACACCAACTTTATCTAACCATCTAATGAGTTATTATCATGCCCTTCATTCTACATGCTCAAACTACTTAAACTAATTTTCACTACACTATTTTCAATAGATGTTATATCCATCATCCCTTTAACATTTTCTTTATTTATCTATCCCTGATGAGGACATCGATCCAAGGTTCAAACAAGTGTATCGCCGGAAGAATCGCAGATCGACGGCCACGATTCAGAGCTTATATTTTTAGTTATTATGCATTTTATTTTATGTATTCCTTTTGTACCCTTATGTTGAGTTGAGTCATGTTGGGGCCCTGAGGGCAATTTGGTCTTTATTTCTTCTTGTATGCTAGAGACCTATATATATGGGTCTTTTCTCTTGTAATAGCTAATTAAGATTTGAATAAAAAAAAATTTGTGTTTCTACTTCTTCTTGCATGAGGGCTTGAGAAGGGAGAGAGCTCAAGGGGAGCAAATCGCAAGGCCCACCAGTCGTTGGAAGAGTCCGCGGCTCGTGGTTAGGTTTTCTATCTTCTCCTTCGTATTCACCTCCATCGTCCTTCTCCTCCACCACAAGAAAATCTCTTCCCAACCCTAGTTGCCGCCGCCCCTTGGAAGTCCCTCCTCTAATGAAACCGCCGGCCCCATATATGGCTCCCATCCATTAAATCCCCATTCAATGCATTAATTCCTCTTATTTGAATTTTAAAATTCAAATCAATCCCCTTCTATTTAATCAAATATGAGATTAAAATTTCAGATTTGGTTAAACCCCTTAACATTCCACTAAACCTAGCTTCTCCCAAACCCAAGCTCCATCCTCCCTTGCACCCGCCGGCCTCACCCTCTCCCCTTGGAGATCCCGCCACCTCCCCTCCTCTCTTTGCCTCTTTGGTGTTCTCTCAACAACGCCAAGCATGCATGGCGGATCCGGAGATCGATAGTGGATTGATGTTTGATATCTACGGTGACATCCATATCACCCGATCTCCTTTCTTTGACGTCGGGTTCGGATCCGACGACATGGTTGAAGACTGCTTAAATCGCATTCTTCCCACGCTCATCGACGTCATCGACGAGCAATTTGAAGACTATTCGTGGACCGTCCTCGGCTATCCGTCCGTGTTTCCTCCACCACCGCCAACCTTTCCGTGGCTCAAGACCATCGGTGTTGCGGCCCTCCTCATGGCATCGTTAAGTGTGTTGAAGATCATCTCCCGCTAAGCCTAGTATAGTTGAGTGATTAATCCCCAAGGTGAAAACTCTCATTATTAATTTGCGGATTGTTGATTAATAGCTTTTGGTATTGCTACTATCTTTGGTTACCTATGAGTTTTGGTTAATCTACTTGTACTCCTTCGCCTAAGCAAGTCAAAGACTAAGGTTCTTTAATGAATTTATTTGTTATTTCAATAAGCTTTTAATTGTAATTCCATTGTCAATCACTTTTAATTTTCTTAAGAAGCTCCTTCGCATGCGGTATTACATCAATCCCACTTTTGCCACAAATTTATTTATATTTTGTTGAACTTGACTATTAATAAACAATT